CGGGGGGGGGGGGGGGGGGGGGAGTCCCCAGGGCCGGCTCCAGCTTATTTTGCACCCTAGGCGAGGATCCCCTCTGCCCCCCCCTGCACCCACCAATTTAAAAAAAAATGCATTTTAGGAAGAATTAAAAACACAAACTCCCAGAGTACGGGGCCGGTGCAGTTTGGTGCCCATAAGGGCCGTCCCACTCTAGGCGATCTCCTAGTGAGTGAGCCGGCCCTGGGAGTCCCACTGGCATTTCTCAACTGCGCCGGAGCGAGACTCGCAGGATGCCTTCGCGGCTCCTCCAGGCTCTCCCCGCCTTTAGCCGCTGCCGGGCTGGGGGCGTTGCCCGCTGGGACAGAGACACGCGCCAAGAAGTCCTGGGAGAACGAAGGCATCACTAGGCGAGAGCGCGGAGGTCGCCACGGAAAGCAGCCGGGTGGAGTGCTTTGGGCTGGGCAAGCAGCGGGAGAGCGCGTTGACTGGAGCCGAGCAGCCGGAGGAGGCGCGCGGTCGAGTCCCCTTTGCGGTCTCCATCCCGTTGGACGTGTTTGGCCACTCGGCCGGAACCCGGCGCTTCTGGCTGCGGGAGGCGGTCCCTAGTGCGGGATGCCTCGCCTTCGCCACCCGTCGAGCTCCGCCGCCGCTGCCGCCCGGTCGCAGCAGGGCAGAGCGGCGTTTGCGCGGTAGCCTGGCGAGGGATTTGGAGACCGAGAGCGATGCCGGGAGACCCCGAGGGTGCCAAGCGTCGGGAGCTTCGTGCGGCGCCGCAAAGCTCAAGAGACGGACTGAGGCGCGCGGGGTGACGCTTCTCCCAGCTGGTCTCCGTGTGCCTCTGCGCGTATGTATTGGGGGGGGGGGGGTTTCCTTTGAAACGAAGGCGTGCGCAGTTCCACAGTGTAACTCAACGAATGTAATCGCTCAGGTGTGGAGGCGGCCACCGCTGCATCCAGGCTGCGTCCAGTCTTTCGAACTATTATGGGCCGGTGGGCGAGGCCGCCGTGCATGCCTGCGATTTCACCTCCTCCGCGCCGCTTGGCTGCGGTGACCCACCCCTGAGACACGATCTCTGGGCAGAGGGTAGTGCGACCTCTCCCATGCCAAGTGGCTCCCGCCCTGGGACAAAAGCTTCACTTCACCCAGATCAAGGGGCACCCCAAGTATTCGAGACTCCGCCGGTGTCGGACTGGTGAGCATCATTTCCCCACAAGTAGCAAATTCCCCTGCTTGCAAGTGTTTGAGAAAGAGAGTGAGATTGTCTCCCCCCTTCTATAAAATCTCAGGCTTTGAGATTCTGGTAAAATCCTCTCTGTTTAGCAATGAATGGTGTAAAAATATCACAGTATTTGCAACTACTGTATAGAAGTTGGTTATTGTGAGTGGTGCCCTCCTGTCTTTGCAGTTTCTCTTTCTCTGAGTGTGTGGGTGCTTGCAAGAGAGATCTGAGTCCAGTAAGGCCACATGGGCAGGAGCTTCTTTGAAACTGCCTTATACTGAATCCATCAAAGTCAGTATTGTCTACTCAGACTGGCAGCAGCTCTCCAGCATCTCAGGTAGAGGTCTTTCACATCATCTGCTGCCTGGTCCTTTTAACTGGCAGTGTCGGGGATTGAACCTGGGACCTTCTGCCAATGAGCCCCCACATGCACACATGCACACACACATTTCATATCCTTGCAGGCTACACTGCCGTGCCAGCACAGTCTGACCTAGTTTCCCCCTCTTTAAAAAAACAACAAGGGGAAACTTAAAATCCAGCAATTAAATAAGATTTTTAAAAATACATAAAGACAAGACAAAAATATAACATAGTGGTGGCAGATCTACACATAAGTTTCTATAGCCTGTTTCCAAATATCTAAAAACAAGTCCATACACAATTGCCATCTATGTGCCATGCATTCAGATATTGATAGAGTTCTGGTCCTCAATCTGTTGATTTACCTGAGGTGGGTTTTTATCTTCCCAGTGTTGTAATATGAGCCTTTTAGCTGTAGTAAAGGCATGGAGGGTCCATTTTCATTGACCATCGGTTAGCGTTCAAGAGACGGCAAAAGAGTTTAAAGGTACATAAGAATCCTCAAAGATCAATGAGTATTCCAACACAAAACTGATATAAGTAATAACTTCTTCCCAGAAAAAACCAAATGACTGGACACACCCAATGCATTTGTTTAAGGGACGCGTCCTGTGAGTTACAAGTCCAACAGTTAGACACTTTGCTCAGTCCTTTGCTGAAGAGTCGCGGTGGTGTCCAGTATATCCTAAACATATTTTGGGGGCTCTTTTGGAGGCCTCTTGTGTGGTGCTCCTCTCTAAGTGGAATGCATTAGGGTCAACATGTGCCAGAGTGGATCCCATTCCTCCCACAGTTTCTACAACTAGAGAACAATGGTGTATAATGGGATGACAACATCAATTTGATCAGTTTTAACATGATAAATTAACATTATCGGCTAATCATGAGGCCAATTGATAGACTGAAGGTGAGAGCTAATCCAGACCTAAAAATAGGATTTTTACATGAGGCCAATTGATAGACTGAAGGTGAGCTTTTGTCATTTTCTCAGTGGAGGTCTAGATATGATTTGTCACCTGATGTAGAATGGCAATACTTACAGCTGCAACATTTGTTGGTATCTAAATATAGCCCTGCAGCATTAAGTGTCTCAGAGTCTCCTTTGCTCCTGGAAACTCTAACTGAATCAGGGCAGAAAATGAAACCTAAAATATTTGGTGTCAATTAATGAATGTGATATGCAGAGTCTCAGGAATGAGTGGAATAAGGAGCTAGATCACCCTGTTTTGCCAAAGCAATGGGATATGGCGTTAAAGTTTACTGCTCTTAAGTTGAGACTTATTCAGCCTGTTTTAATTTTGTGGCCCATTTGCAGATTGATGATTCATGCAGCTGTTTCTTCACCTTCTTGGACCATCCGGTCTGGAGAGTCAGCTGGCATCTGTACAAGGAAACAGCCTGTTGAGTGCCTTCCATGGAACTCTAGAGGGGGAGAGCCCATCTTGCAACTCCGCCACACACCCAGTTTGCCTTTGGAAGTGAAGACAACCTGGTCAATGTTGGGAAATAGCAGCAGCAGCAGCAGCCCCAATTGCACGCTCTGCAGCCAGGATTTTGCCGGGGGTGTCTGCAAGATCCTCCTCATGGTCTTCCTGATCGTCGCCATCAGCCTTGGCAACGTGGTGAGCCTCCTGGTTTTCCTTTGCGTCAAGCAGTTCCGAAGCCCCCAAGGCTACCTGAAAGCCTCTTTAGCCCTGACTGACTTCATCATAGGCGTTATTGTAGTGCCTTACTCCGTATACAGGGAGGTGAACAGGTTGGCTTATGGGGTGGAGCAAGAGCCGGCTGAGTCTGGTGAGCTGGCCTGCTACATCATCGGGCCCATCTTTGCAGGCTCCACCTTTGTCTCCATCACCACCATCTTCCTGCTCTCCGTGGAGAGGAGCATAGCGGTGCTGAAACCCTTGCACAAGAAAGCGGTGATCACCAAACGCAGGACTCTTTGGCTCATCCTTCTCACCTGGGCCTTGAGCTACTGTATGGCAGTGATCCCCATGCTCGCCTCCTCGGATATTACTCAGCAGTACAACTCCTGCAGCAATCTGTGCACCTATGAGTTCCCAGCAAACAAGCCACCTCAGTCCCATTGGAATATCATGCTGCTGTATCCAGTCTTTGATTTCTCCCTCTTGGGCAGCACTTTAATCATCAACGTTGTCACTTTTGCCGCCCTCCACCAGTACTGCAAGATCCGGAAACAGCTAGGGGTGGAGTTACAGAGTGGCAGCCAGCTCTCCTTCTTGGACATCAATGCAGCCAAGACCATTGGCATCTTGACCTTTGCTTTTGCAGCTGCCTTCAGCCCCATTGCTGTATTTGTGGTGGGCTCCGTGATGGGTTACAAGTGGTGCCATTTCTCCTTCTATGCTTTCTGGATCCTCACGTCCAACAGCTGCTGGAATGTGGCCATCTATAGCATCTGGGACCCCAAGTTCCGCCTGGGCGTTAGGGAGCTCTTTGGCAAGAAAGTGCTGAAATCAGTCTCCCAGGGCCCTAGTCACTCCATGGAGGTGAACAGTACTTCTATGGCCGGTGTGGTAGTCCTCAAGGACATGTTCTGCATGGACAATACTTGACAGCCCAACTTTTTTCTGCCACTTGTCAGTGGAGGCCGCTGAATTATTCCTTTAGGATATTCTGGATGTTTAACCAGACAAATATGTATTAAACTTGTGTCTGGCTCCCACATGGGATTTGCAGTGGTCTCCCATCCAGTGGATGAATGAGGGCCACACTACTTAGCTTCATCTGTGCCGAAGCATCAGGTGCTGCTAGACAACTGGCTGCACTCTGATCCTGGTTCTGGTTATTGAACCTGCACAAAGAGGTTTGCTTCAGAAATGTGTACTTCTCCCAAAGTGCTCAAATTGCCCGGCTTAACCTGAGCTGATCAGAGCTGGGAAGCTAAGGAGCATTGGCCATGGTTAGTACTTGGATGGGAGACCACCAAGGAGAGGACTAGGGTTGCTACATGGAGGAAGGTGATGACAAACCACTTCTGCTCATCTCTCTCCTGGAGTGCCTGTGGATGGGGTAGTCATGAGTCGGTTGTGACCTGGTGGCACTTTCTTCTTCTTCTTAAAGTCCTAGACTTGTCCTTGCATAAACTGAATTACAGTTGCTTGAACTTCATAGTCCAAATGCAGCCTAAATGGGCTTGTAGCGATGCATCCCGGTGCTGAGTGTGAACACCACACAGGCAAATGCTGATACTTAAAGGCTTTTAAAAACATGTATTACACTTGTATCTTGCTCTTATATGAGACCTGGGGTGGTCTGCCGTCCCAAGGACAAATGTGGTCCACACGACTTAGCGCCATCTGTGCCACATCATCAGGTATTCCTGGACCGCTTGCCGCACTCCGATTTTGGCTGACAAAGGCCGGGTCTCCGCATGCAGCAGAATGCAGTGGTCATGAGGTAGCAGAGGGTTGAGGTGGTAGATTGGGCTGCACCACTGCAGATTGCAAGGAAGAGGTTACCTTTTTGACCTATGAGGAAAGGTTAAGGCGCTTCAGGCTCTTTAGCTTGGAGAAGCGAGGACTGAGGGGTGACATGATTGAGGTTTATAAGATTATGCATGGGATAGAGCAAGTAGAGAAAGAGGTACTTTTCTCCCTTTCTCACAATCCAAGAACTCGTGGGCACTCCATGAAATTGCTGAGCGGTCGGGTTAGAATGGATAAGAGGAAGTACTTCTTCACCCAAAGAGTGATCAACACTTGGAATTCACTGCCACAGGAAGTGGTGGCGGCTACAAGCATGGACGGCTTCAAAGGGGAATTAGATAAGCATATGGAGCAGAGGTCCATCAGTGGCTTTTAGCCACAAGGTATAGATAGGGGCTCTGGGGCAAGTGATGCTCTGTCTTCTTGGTGCTTGGGGGGGGGTCAACAGTGGAAGGGCTTCTAATGTCCTGGCCCCACTGGTGGACCTCCTGATGGCACCTGGTATTTCTGGCCACTGTGTGATACAGAGTGTTGGACTGGATGGGCCTTTGGCCTGATCCAACATTGGCATCTCTTATGTTCTTATGTTCTTATGACCTGTTTATATATGAATAATCTGGGAGACCCAGGTCATTAGCAACACATGCAGGCATAGGCTAGAACTTTTCTCTTTGATATGTTCAGTTTTTAATGACCGGAGAGTTTTTGTGTGTGGGAGCACATAACTCCTCACCTGCACTCTGAAGTGGTACTGCTCATCCTACAAGCTCAGGATCCGACACCTAAGTTTTCACATGGACATGAAGCCTTAGTAACAGTGAACTGGACACAGATTACTGCAAGAGAGCCTGCATGGTGAATGGATAGAGTGCCAGACTAGGATCTGGGAGACCCAGGTCTGGATCCCCCGCCCTGTCATGGAAGCTTGCTGGGTGACCTCAGGCCAGTCACACACACCCTCAGCCTAACCTACCTCAAGAGTGTTGTTGTGAGGATAAAATGGAGGACAGGAGAATGCCATAAGCAGGTTTGAGTCCCCACTGTAAATAAATAAGTGGACTGATGTTTGTGCATTAGAACTTTGCTTCCTCCCCTCTCCCATGTTTAGCATACTGAGCCCTTCCTTGCATGTTTTACTTCTAGGGGGTCAGGGGATTCTCACAATGTATGGAAGGCAAAGTAAAAGGGATCTGTTGGGAGAAAAGAATTGGCAGATTTGCCCCTTCCTCTGTCAGTGGAAGTGCTGTAAATGCTGTTACAGCAGTGGGAGAGTGCCCTTTGTATCCAAGTCATTATTTTCAGTACAAAGCAGCAAAATTAGTCTGTACCAAAATGTCCAAGACTCAAGTTTCTGTTAACATATCAAAGGGAAGGGAAGGAAAATAGGCCATGCTTTAAAAAGAAATCCCCCCAACTCTAAATGCAACAAGAATTAAGAGCATTTCTTGGCTATACAAACTTGCAAAAAACCCTGTGTTTATCTAATGCATTATTATCTAGTACATAAGATTATATACACCTAGATGTATAGATCCATTTCAGAATATAACAATGTATAATTACTTAAAATATCCCTTGAGAGAGCCAGCGTGGTGTATTGGTTAAGAGTGGTGGACTTTAATCTGGAGAATCGGGTTTGATTCCCCACTCCTCCATGTGAAGCCTTCTGGGTGACCTTGGGCCAGTCACAGTTCTCTCAGAGCTCTCTCAGCCCCACCTACCTCACAAGGTGACTGTTTATTTCTTTACACAGAGATTGCTTAAAAGATGGGATTTGCTGCCAGAGGATGTAGTGATGGCCACAGGAATAAGTTACAATCTTCGAGGAGGGTGGGATAAAAATCCAAATAAATAAATAAATAAATAATAAACAGCTTACGAAGGGGATTAGATAGATTCATGGAGTATAGGTCTATCAGTGGCTACTAGCCGTGGTGACTGAGGGGAACCTCCATGTTCAGAGGCACTAAACCTCTGAATCCCAGAGCTGGGAGGCAACATTGGTGGAAAGTCTTGGCCCTTCAGAGGAACTGGTTAGCCACTGTGTGAGATAGGATACTGGACTAGATAGTCCACTGGTCTGATCCAGCAGGGCTCTTCTTATGCTTTTATGTCCTGGTGTGGGGAGAGGAAGGGAAAGTGATTGTAAGCCGCTTTGAGACTCCTTAGCATAGAGAAAATCAGGGTATAAAAACCATCTTTTCTTCTTTTTCTTCATTATGACATTGTACCATCATGAATAAGGTTAAGATTGTAACTTGCTCAAGCCATAAATATGCTTTTAGTAATGGTTAAGGACAGGATCTGGATGCCCTTGCTAATCACACTTAAGTCATACACATGTTTTCAAATCAAATGAAGAGGATGTTGCAAGCTATGAAAACAGTCCCTGAATACCTTACACTTAAAATGCTGCTAGAGGAAGGAACATGGCTTAGTGATAGAGCACTTGCTGCACATGCAGAAGACCCCAGTCCCTGGCACCTCCGGTTACAAGGAACAAATAAGAAGTGATGCAACTTCCTGTGACTCTGGAGAGCCACTGTGAGACAGAGTAGCTAAGCTCGACCTTGAGAGGCCAGTGGTCTGACTCAGTAGAGGGCAGCTTTGCATGTGCAAAAAATGGGAAAGTCTGAACTTTCAGTGCGAGTGGAACAAGCTCTCGAACACTCTTGCATTTGGGGGTTTATTACACTAGAATAAATATCATTGTACAATCCTGAATAAATATTCATATTGTCATATAGACACTGATAAGGGCAGAGAAGGAGAAACACTCTTTTGCCATGCCTTAATCATCTTGAATGCGTGCTCAAAATATTTTTTTTTCAAGAGGCTCAGGGAAGAGACTCTCTTTCTTAGGTGATACGTCTGTATATTGGCCAAGCCATCTGTAGCAGGTCTCTGGAGATGCAGTGTACTAGTTTTCTAAATAAGTAAGGCAGATAAGAAAGGATTGATATGGGAAGCTGTAAGATGTGAAATATCAAGATGTGTATTAAATTCTATACTGAGAAACTCTTTTGTTGACAGAGCTTTCATTTGTTGTGTATTTGTGAAGGCTCTCACTCCAACGAATACTCGCTCATACATTCTTTTTTCCTCCCTATTTGGTTGTCTTAAAATAGCTGGTGTATTTATTGTATGAGGTAATCTTGATAACAAATACCATTCTGAATATATTCAATGCAGATAAGCCTTCTCTTGATTAACTAACACCACAAAAATAATAATAATTGTTTAGATAACAATCTTGAACACATTGCCCCAATGAAAACATGCATACAGTTCATTTGCAACAATGCTGTCAGTAATGAAACCCTTACGCAAGATACAGGTTTTTTGTTTTGTTTTGAAGCGATTTTATATTGGTTGGATTGAAATATGGAAATCCAAGCTGTGCAGAAGGAAATCTCTTACATTCTAAACTTCTTGAATTTTGTAGGTTTGGAACGTACACGGTTTTGTTGAATTGCCTATTTCTTCTCAGTGTCTACTTAGGTAAATAAGCAAGTAAAGGAACCTTAGATCTCTGATGGTCTTTCCTCCAATAAAACGTACCCTGCTTAAGGTAACCTGAATTTTTGCACTGTTTGCAAAAGGGAGAAAACACTAGATGGGATAACTTAACTTGGAATCATCTACAAAAGGTTCCATGACATATTAATCAAGAGACATCTGCAGTATGGACACCATTTTGAGTAAACTGTATTGGAAAGAAATTTTTCTAGAAAACATTTTCCTGGAATCAGACATTGGATTGTAGACCAAAGAACTGATAAAAAAAGATTTCCCAGAGTCATGAACCAAAATGGCAACACTGACTTTGCATGAACACAGAGGTACCGAAGAACTCCAGGACCCTCCAGCATTTCGCATTCAGAATGAAAACGACATATGTAGTAATTAGAGAACGAACACCGATTCCATCAATTGTTATTCCCCTCATCAATTTTTTAAAGTGTGGCATATATATTTACAGGGGTCGTTTCGTAGAAAAAGAGCTAGGGGAACTCAATAGCATAACTCATTAGCATATGCCACACCCCCTGACATCAGGGGCCCGGCGGTGGACCTGCAAGGCTGGCGGGAGTGCGAGGAAGCCCCGCCAAGGCCCTCCCTGGCTC